CACCCCTGAAATCCTGTTAATAGGAGAGAAAGGCTTGTTTAAGGAAGAGGTCATACGAGTCTTCCGTCAGTACAGAAGTGTTGACGTTCAAGCCGAAAGAGTGTGGACACTATAAGGGCCTGTGGATTTAGTAGTATTCAGCTTTCTTCCCCTCTTCTTAAGTTTTTTTTTTTTTTGAAACATATTTGTGGGATACATGTGATTTTTTTATTGACACATTTATGGGGTACATATGATATTTTGTTACATGCATAGGATGTATAATGATCAAGTCAGGGTATTTGGGGTATCCATCCCATTGAGTATTTATCATTTCTATGTGTTGGGGACAATTCAAGTCTTCTCTTCCGGGTGCTTTGAAATATACGATATAATGTAGTCACCCTACCCTGCTGTGGAACATTAGAACTTTTACCTTCTTTATCTAACTGTATGTCTGTACCCATTAACCAACCTCTATGCGTCCCCCTCCCACCTTCCCAGTCTCTGGTGTCTAGCATTCTACTCCCTACCTCTAAGAGACCAACTTTTTTAGCTCCCAAATATGAGTGAGAACATGTGATATGTGTCGGGTTTTGATCTTGCTATTATTGTCTGTTGCAGATTTTTACCTTCCCGTCTCGTTGCCAAGGGCCTGATATTGCCTTATATTAATAAATGCATTTTCATTTTTGGAAAGCAGAGTTGTATGGTGTTAATAATGTGGAGATTGTTTAGTCCATTTCCTGGACGAGGAAACAAGCGTGCAGTAGCTGAGTAAACTTGTGTGTTTAAACCAATGGCCAAAATGGGACCAGATCCCACGTTTTCCTAATTCCGAGTTCTATATTGTTTGCACTGTGCTGCGTGACCTCATAGAAGTAAAATACCGCCTGCCAGAAGCCTAGCCAATTTTTTCAGATTGTTTATAGAAGGGGTTATAAGATTAAGCTGTCTTTCAACTTCTTTTCTGTTCAAGTGGAGCCATCTGGGGTTGCTCAAAGTCAGAGAAATCAATCTATGTACTTCTGCTTAGCACCAAAAAAACAGAGGTGCAATATCCAGAAAAGCACTTGCTGCCAGTTGAGAGGCATTAAAAAAAAAAAAAAAAGCATCATGAAAAAAAAATGTCTACTGGAAAATAGGTTAAGTTAAAACAAAATCGACTTTGGCAATATGTTAAAACTCACCGCCCTCCATTTCCATACTCCAGTGCTAATCGTTCCCCCTACTATTTTGTTTAGTCTTTATTCATGGATCATTATTTTCTTCCTTACAGCTGACCCAGTAGGACAGTACTGCTGGGCACTTTGAGACCCATCCTCAAATGTTGGACAGTGGGTTTTGAGTACATGTTTTCGGTGTCCTGTGACCATCCAGCTGGTTCATAGTGGCACCAGACTCTCTTGAGCTGTAATCGTAAAGAGTTACCATTTTTTTTCTCTTGTGTAATTAACCGGGGAGAAAAAAAAAAATCAATGAAATACAAAGAACTCATTCATTCATTCATATATTTTTTGTTGTTGTTCAAGAATATTTATGGAGCACCAGCTACTAGGTGCCAGGCCCTACTCACAGCCTTGGGGAAATCGCAGTGAACAAAAAACCTGCTACCCTGATACACTAGTGGAAAAAACCAGATGCTTTTATAACAGCATGGCAGAGTAAAGGGATAGGAACAAGTACTGTATTGCATAGGATAGTCAGGAATGCCTCCTTAGGGAGGTGACATTTGGAGGTGACCAAACTGAAGGATCCCATCATGTACACAGCTAAGGGACGGGGGTAGCAGGCAAAGGCAACCACAAATGCTGAGGCCTGAGACTTGGATCGGTAAGAACAGTTCCAGGAACAGTAAGAAAGCCCATGAGGCTGCCGTGGCAGGAGCAAGGGGAAGAGCAGTAGCTTCAGGCAGTTCATGCGGGGCCCACTGCTAAGGATTTATGTCTGACGTTGCTTTAAAAGGATTATGGTGGCTGCTCTATGGAAAGTTAAGGTGGGGGTGGCGTGTGGCAAGGGCGGAGGCTGGCAAGGCAGCCAGAAGATTATCGCAGTAATCCAGCTGAGATGATGCTGGCTTGGATCAAGGGTCCTGGTGCAGTTGGCAAAAGCAGCCAGCTTCTGGCTATATTTAGAAAGGAGAGCTGGTTGGATTGGTAGAGGAATGGGTTTGAGGAGGACCCAGAGTTCTTCTGAGGACATTTGAAGTTGGAGATGCCTACTTTACGTCCATGTTGCTGCCATGCATGCATGTATAAGTCTGGAGCTCAGGGACAAAGTTGGGACTAAGGATGGGAGGGGTCAGTGCAGGGAAGGTACTTAAAGTTTTGATTCTTTTTTTTTTTTTAAATTTTTTAATTTTTTTAGAGACAGGGTCTCACTCTGTCACCCAGGCTGGAGTGCAGTGGCACCATCATAGCTCACTGCAGCCTCAAACTCCTGGGTTCAAGGTATCCTCCTGCCTCAGCCTCCCGAGTAGCTGGGACTACAGGCATGTACCACCACGCCCGGCTAATTTTTTAAATTTTTGGTAGAGACACAGTCTCTCTGTGTTGCCCAGGCTGGTCACAGAACTCCAGGCCTCAAGCGATCCTCCCACCTCAGCCACCTATAGTGCTGGGATCACAGGTGTGAGCCACCCCTCTCGGCTTGGTTGAATTCTTGGGTAGTAAGTTGCCAGTGTGCTTGTTCTTTTCTTGAATTGCTGGAAAGGCATATAAATGGTACATATACATGGCCACAATTTGTATTTTCTCTCAATAACCTTTGGTGAAACGTTCTGGGATATCAGATTTGTTGTCTAATTTCCCCTCCAGGAAACTGATAGTCACTGAAGTCATTTTGATTTGGGTGTGAGAGTTTTTCCGTGAAAAGCGACTTTGTGAGTGCTCTTGCCACTTTTCCTGTTCTGCACCTTCAGAGTCGTTACAAAGACCGAACGCTAGGGGGACCTAGTTTCCTTGCTTATGCGATGGTGGCGGGCCAACCTGTTGGATACAGTTGCCCTGCCTTAGGACATTCATGCTGTATTAAAGACACATCTGAAAACAAGGACATTTTCTCTTTTCTCAATACAATGTATACCTATAGGAGTGATCTTTTAGAGTGTAACATGTCTGAATTGTCTTTAAATCGGTCGTTTTAAGTAATTTTCACAACCACTTAAAATTGTAAAGGCAACAGGCTTCTCAACTCCAGATCTCTTTGAACTTTTAAAGATAAGGATCATGAGGATTTAGAATATTTGGATTGGAGTATGGAAACCTAAATGTAACAAATACCTGCAGATGACTGGAATCTGGGCCACGGGAACCCTGACTTAGAATGTAATTTCTATTTTATCACCAGGTATTAAGCTAAAGACATGGCAACTAAATGCACAAACGTTAATATATTATGTGTCATTGGAGTATAAAATCGATAACTTTGTTGTTAAAAGGTTGGAAACATTGTATCAATTTTGGATACATTTGTCTTAAAAGAGCATATGATCTTAACTCGTTTTTTGCAACTGCAATAATTTTATTTTGGGGAGGGAATCAGTCTACATTTATGCTGAAACCAGCTTAAAGCAGAGTCACTTTAATCAGGGGAAATGAAAAGTGATAATTAATAAATGTGTTATCATCTGCTTGATCTTTCCTATTTCGGGCCACCTCTGATCCAAGAATGACTTTGACCGCAGTGATCCTTTCCTGTTAGGCAGGACTGTTAGTTTCAGAGTTGGCTGGTGGTACAGATGTGTTCCAATGCCACGCATGCGTGGGGCAGGGGCTGGCAACTGGTTCACAGGCCAAATACAGTCCACTGCCTATTTTTTTGTTTACAGTCTTCAAGCTAATAGTGGTTTTTACATTTTCATGTGATGGAAAAAAAAAATCAAAATAACATTTCATGTGTGAAAATTTTGTGAAATTCACATTTCAGTATCCATAGATAAAATATCATTAAAATATAGCCATGCTCATTCATATATACATATGAATGAATATGTGTGTGTATATATATATATGTATTTTTTTTTTTAAAACAGAGTCTTGCTGTGTTACCCAGGCTTAGAATGCAGTGGTGCAATCATAGCTCACTGTAGCAGTAACTCCTGGGCTCAGGTGACCTTCCTGCCTCAGCCTCTCAAGCAGCTAGGATTACAGGCATGAGCCACTAGCCTGGCTACTTTTTATAATTTCTTGTAGAGATGAGGTCTTGCTATGTTGCCCAGGATGGTCTCCAACTCCTGGCCTCAAACAATCCTCCCACCTCAGCCTCCCAAAGTGCTGGGATTACGGGTGGGAGCCACCTCGCCTGGCTGTCATTCATTATATATTGTGTATGGCTGCTTTTGAGCTGCAGTGGCATAGTTGAGTAAGACAGAGATCTTGGGACCCAAAAAGCCTTAAATATTTACTATCTGGACCTAAATATTTACAGAAAAGGTTTGCCAACCCCTGGCACGTCTGAGAGTCCGTGCTGTTTACTCACACAAGGTTAGAACTAGTCTGTAACTGAGTGTAGACAGTCTTAACTATTTGCCCTTATTACTTTTGATAGGCTTGCTCTGGCTGACATAATATCATTTCACTCATGTATTTTTCATTAAGAAATAATTAAGTTCAATCACTGCTTTTATTCTCATTTCAAGTCTTAGCTGAAAATATGCTTCTTCATTTGATTATACTGTTAATTTTTATTTCTCTCTCCTGTTTTCCATTACTTAATACTTCCCTTGAATTATTTATTTTTTTTTATTTTGGCATATTATAGGGGTACAGATTTTAAGGTTTCAACAAATGCCCTTTTATTTAGTTTTTTTAAAGGTGCTTTAAAATAATTTGTATGAAAGATACAATATAAAGTAAAATTGTCCTGTTTTCAATGACAAAAAAAAAATAAGTTCAACAAGACACTTCTTGGGAAACTATGTGTCTTTAGTAGAGTGAAAAGATTTTATAGAAAAGTTTAAAAAATTAATATTTATTTGAAATGAATCTTTTTTGAGTTTTTGTCAGCAGAAGAAAAACCAGTCTCTTTAAATAAAAAAGCCATAAATTTATTGCAAATCTAGAAGTACCAGACTGTCATTAATACAGAACAAATCAGCAATCTTGTTTTTTTTTTCTTCCAAATATTTAAAACCTTGATCATTGACATACTGAAATTGGCATACATTTTTGTTTCATGCAGTTAACAGAATGGACATAGAGCAGATCCCTCGGAAACCAGTTATAAATATTAAATTGTGTTGAACATTCATATTAAAAAATATGTTGTAAAGTGCTAAAGTCATGTAAGTCTGCAAAACTGCCACAAGCTCACAGTTCTTCTCAAGCAGTGACAGAGATTTGCTACATCCACCTTGTTTTAGGTGTGTCCGTTTTTTGACAGACACTTTGTCATTTCCTTCCCCACCCTCCCCAAAGTTTTATAGATTGTCCTATTTCTATGGCTGATAAAATGCTATGCAAAAACGTAGCAGGTGGTGATGAACTATGCCACTTTCATTTCAGTGCAGAGAAATATTCAAGCTTGTGTGTACCTGTAACCAAACTAGGCTTGTTATGTTTTTCCCCCTGAGTTGTCATAAATTAACATAAAAGATGAATAAAGATGGAGCAGCAAGCATTGTCCATCACCTTCCGGGTGAGGTTCAGCAACAGGTGAGTACATAGCCCATGTATTATCCTCATACTTCCCCTCTTTACAGAAAACTGCTAAAATGAGAAATACTCTACATGTAGTGTAACTCCAAAAAAAAAAAAAACAACGACCAGTTACCTGATACCTATGGCAACTTAGAATATCAAGTCACGTTTTATATAAGATGTAAATTGCAACTTGTAACTCATAACATAAATGTCTCTGCTTACCCCCACATGAAATACAGAAATGCTTCGACAGTTAGATGTTTTTTAAAAAAAAAAAAATCAGAAATGCTTCCACAATTCACACTTGATCTTGGCCAAAAGGCCAAGAAACAATAGCAATTCAATGAAATATAATTCTGATCAAAGATTCTCAAGTATTCTTAGGTGATAAAACAAATTATTTTTAAAAGCTAAGGCGATTTGCTACGCATTATTTTTCTCCCTTTAAATAGCACATGTTGCTTTTAATGAAGTTGAAGAATTATTACAACTTAGCCTTTTATGAGAGTAACTCTTATAAGAGAAAAGGTATTCTTTGAGGCATTTAAAGGATTGCAGAAAGGAGGTAAAAATGCTGCTTATGTCTCGTATTTTATTTCTTTTGATTACTTTAATCATCCTAGAATAACTTAATAATAAATAGTGGTTTAAATTAAAGACACTACAATCACATATTTCTGAATAATTAAAAGCAACAGGAACTTTTGAATGCCATTTTGTATATTCTGTATTGAAATACTTCTGGTAATGACTGGCCATAAAAAGAAGTGGTAGTCTTCACATTTAGGAAGTTCAAGTTACATATATTTTTTAAAATTTTTGTTTATTAGTCAAACGTTTGGTCTTAAACTGCACTTCATTTCCAGGCAATATTTGGAAAGTTCAGAGGCTATAATTTCTTATAGAAAATCTCAGCATTTTTTTCAAAGGGTTTTTAAAAAAAACCTTTTTATTCATATTTCTGAAAATCAGAAGTTTTTTAAAAATGATTGAAGATTTTTTTGTTTTTGACTGGCCAATTTCATTTCAATGATTTGGGCTGGAGGCTGTCTTTGTAAGATCATTTCTCCCATGTGAGTGCTCTTAAAACCACTTTTCCAGTTCATGTCACTGAATTAATATTGGAATGTGAACCAAACAGTCCTTCTACTTATCTTTCATATTGCTACTGAACAGAGCCAGATTTATATAGAGAGGAGAGTGTTTGGTTGTTTTTGTTTTGGCTTAAAAAAAAAACAAGCAAAAAGGAAAACTTTAAAGGAAAAAGAAAGATATTGGTAGCGCTGTTCACGTATACATTCCCTTTAAGATGTAGTTTTGAAAGTAGAATAGGGTGGTTAGCTCCTCTACCTCCCTATGTCTCCCCCCTAGACCCCCGGGGTCCACCCCCCTCACCCCCAAGCCAACACAGGGGCTGCTGTTACATGAAAGTGTGTCATACTGGCTCTATTTGCACATGAACTCTGTGCTCATTTTTCGCAAGATCCATTTCCAGAAAGTCTTCAGGTATGTCTTGTAATGCCTTCCCACGATGGCTCGCTGCCTTTGTTTCACCTGAGTGACGGCGCTGGCACAGTCCCTGTTTACACGGTCGCACCAGGGCCAGGCACACGGCAGCCACGGACATGCCACCCGCGCAGGAGTAGAAGGCCCTGCTGTAGATTTTACTTTGGTCCACGAGCAAACCTGCGGGAGAGCATCAGCAGCCGTGAGCAATATCCCCGTGGGCATCGGCCTCCCACCCAGGCACCCATCAAATTCAGAAACCTAACGGTCTCTTTGCCTTTTTGTTTTGTTTTTCTAAAGAAAAAGGGCTGTGAAAGGCAGAAATCCTTGCTAGACTGGAGAGAAGGAATAGATACACACACAAAATATTTAGCCGCTGAGAAAATGAAGTTGCTAACTTGCTCTTCATGGGCTAAGTCTGTCCTTGCAGAGAATCTAAAACATGGGACATTTAGATGCAGGATTTTTGGAAAGGTAATATTCTTAAGTAGGAAAGAGCTGTATTATTTTCACTGGCGTTCACTCCAGGTCTGTTTTATCAGGGGCTAAGATTTCTAATCCCAGTAATTTTAAGGACCTATTTCACATCTAAGCTATGAAACATACCTATGTCCCTCCTACAGGGAAATATTCTGTACTAATCAATTAAGTATGTGCAGAGTGCTGCTATGTGCTCAGTTCCCAAACATCTTTCCTAAGAAGGCATGATGACTTACAGAAGTCCATTAGTTCTATTATTCCAAAAGTCACCTGGGCTATAAAGGTCATAAACCCATGGGTTCCCTTCTAGCATTAGACAAGGCAAGATGATAGAAAAAAGCCTGGGGCAGCCTGGACTGCAGACAGGTTCTAATCCTGAGTTCGTCACTCATTTACCATATGACTTTAGGCTTAAATTCTTTCACCTTCAGTTTCCTCATATTTAAATCAAGAGGGTTGGCTCAGGTAATTTCTAATCCCTGGCAGCTCTAAAATGCAATGGAAGTATAAAAATGGAAGTAGATTTCCTTTTATTAGACTAGAACAGGAAGCTAGCGCAACTCCTAAGGGAGAATAGACACAAGCGTTTGGATTTTGTGTATTCCAGTCACCTGCAAGGGGTGGTCCCGCCAGTCCCGCTATGCTCTGAATGAAGACGTAGACCCCAGCTGCAGAAGACATCCTCTCGATTCCCACGACATCATCTTCGGCAAGCAGTGGTATGTGGGTTCCTCCTATTGTTCCAACCATGCACCCAAAAAATATGCTACAGGACATGAGACCCCAGAATTCAGTAGCGAACGTAAAAGCAAACAGAGACACGGTCAACAAGATGACGCAGATGAGCTCGATGTAAATCTTGCGGATGGGCTCTCTGTTGAGGACAAAGCCAGCTGCGATTCTTCCGAACACTTCTGCAATTGCCATCGCAGATAACAGAAACGCAGCGTGTTCCTGGTCAATGCCCAGACTGATGCCCAGAGGAATGATGTACAGAGACGGCGCGAAGAATCCCAGTGTTGCAAAGAGACCAAATAATGCATAACAAATGAAACTTTTCTCTTTCAAAATCGAGAAGTCTAGCAAAGGGGCTTTCTTATCGCTCGGCTTGGAGCTCGTCTTCACCAGGACCTGCTGCATGTCAGCCTTCAGCTCCAGTTCCGTGTTGGCGTGACTAGGCACATTTTTAGGTGAGGTAGTTAGTTCTACTCCTGAGTCAATGGAGTCTATTGAGGTTCGTGTTTTTTCATTTTCAAGCATATATTGCACTTCTTTCCGGTTTTCGTGGGGGGTTATTTTTGGCGACCCTGGCCCTCGGATGATAATGGGTCTCAGCAGTGCCCCGAACACGACGATGTTGAGCTGCAGCAGGCCCACGAAGAGGAGGCTGTATCTCCAGCCGATGTTCTCCTTCAGAGCCATGATGGCTGGGATGGGCAGCAGTGAAGAGGAAATGAAATTGAAGGTCAGTAATGCACCCCAGACCCAGGAGGAAGAAAACATCAAGATATATGGATCCAGATTTTTTTTTCTGAGACAGAGTCTCACTTTGTTGCTCAGGCTAGAGTGAGTGCCGTGGCGTCAGCCCAGCTCACAGCAACCTCAAACTCCTGGGCTCAAGCGATCCTCCTGCCTCAGCCTCCCGAGTAGCTGGGACTACAGGCATGCGCCACCATGCCCAGCTAATTTTTTCTATATGTATATTAGTTGGCCAATTAATTTCTTTCTATTTTTAGTGGAGACGGGGTCTTGCTCTTGCTCAGGCTGTTTCCGAACTTCTGACCTCAAGCAATCCTCCCGCCTCGGCCTCCCAGAGTGCTAGGATTACAGGCGTGAGCCACCGCGCACCGGCCTGGATCCAGATTTAATAACCATTTGTTTTTCCTTCTAGCGTATCTAGGCCCCAGAATAGCAATAATTTTTGTAGACACTCACAAGTGTGAATGCAGTCAGTCCTGACTATGCTTTATTCTAGGTTTTGGTGCAATTTTAGGAATCAGTAAGGACAAACATGTGCATAATAATTATTATGCATAAAACAAAAATTTTCAGCCCAGGTCTCCAAAAGACCTTTGGAGGGGGCATTTTTCTGGGTAAGATGCACAAGAAGAGAAGTGAGTTTGTGACTTGCATCAAGGTTTGCAAACAGTGACCCACGGGCCAAATCCAACCCCCTGCCTGTTTTTGTTAAGAAAGCTTGACTGGGACAGGGCTGTCCCTGTTCACGTACGGTCTACGGGTGCTTTTGTGCTGTAACGGCAGAATTGAGAGGTTGGGACAGAGACTAAAATACTTACTATCTGGCCTTTTACAAATGGAATTTACCAAACCTCTGAGCTGTGTCATGACACATCCACTCATTTAATCCTCGAGAGTAAGGGATTCAATCAAAAAAATAAACTAAGAATCTAATCTGACACTCTAAAAGCTCATATGATTATCTCAGAATTAAATGATAGCGTTCTCCTGTTTCTCCCTGAGGTATGTCCTTAACTACCTGAATTCTTCTCCTCCCTGCCAGGAAGTCAGGTCCTAGGCTGATGACCAGAGCAAGGCTGGAAGGGGAGGCTGAGGATGTGGCCACAGAAAGCACACGGCGCCTAAGCTATAGTGCAATCATGCAGGCCTCTCAGGCCCCACGAGATCTTGCAGTATCTTCTCTTAATCATCCCAGACAGGTGACATGGTATTCATTATAATGTCATGTTACCGCATTCTCATTCTTTGAGAGCTGAGAGTCAAGTGCAATAGACATGGTGACTTGGGTGACCAGGAGACTGACTTAGCAAGAGCCCCACGTTCCAGAGAAGCCTCTACTTAACTAGTGGGGTATGGTTCCCCTTGGACCTCCTGTTTTCCCTTTAATATGGAAAGCCGAGAATTGCCAAATGTTTTAGACTTGGGTGTTTCTAAGTGCTCTGCCCACACCTGGCAGTAATCGCTCTGATCTTCCTCTCCCCGTTTAACTAACATTCCTTGTTGCCCACGGAGTGCCAGGGACAGTGGCCAGTGCTGGGGAACTGAGCTGATCAAGGCATAGTCTCTGTCCTTAGGGCACTCACAAGCCATTGATTCTTCCTGTCCTCGATGATTTATTTTGGAAACTTTCATACCGACAGAAAAGTGGAGAGAATGATGCCAATATGCCCGTCCTTCACCTAAACTCAACAATTAATATTTTTCTCTGTCTCTGTCTGATTGTATCTTTCTCTCTATATATTTATATGTACACATATATTCATTTTTAAATATCATCTGAAAGGCTTCAGATATTATGACATATCACTTCTAAATACATCTACCTGTACCTCCTATGAACAAAATGCAATCCACTGACACATTCATTAGGATATGGCAGAGCAAGAAACAAATCTGGGTCTCCAAGGTGATCTGTCTACTACTCTAGTTTTCTTATAATTCACATATTAATGTTGATACAGGGAAATAAACCAGGGATAATAATTTTGCTGTGAGATTATCCACCCACAGATCATAAACCTGATTTTATTAGCGTAATTTAAACCCACATTAAATATAGTTCTTTCAAAAAAGGAGAGGACAGGCCAGGCGCAGTGGCTCATGCCTGTAATCCTAGCACTCTGGGAGGCCGAGGTGGGTGGATTGTTTGAGCTCAGGAGTTTGAGACCAGCTGAGCAAGAGTGAGAGCCCATTTTTACTAAAAAAATAGAAATTATCTGTACTAAAAAAAAAAATATATGGTATATGTAATATTATAGAGAGAGAGAGAGAGAGAGAGAGAGAGATAATATGCCGGGCGTGCATGCCTGTTAGCAGCATTTGGGAGAGTGAGACAGAAGGATCTGCTGTGAGCCAGGATTTGAGGTTGCTGTGAGCTAGGCCTGACGCCACGGCACTCTTTGCCCTGGCAACAAAAGGTGAATCCTGCTCAAAAGCTAAATACTAACTAACTAACTAAAAACTAACTAACTAACTAACTAAATAAATAAAAAAGGAGAGGACACAATGGTATGAATAATCCCAAATCATTAAATTATTTTGGAATACATGTGTCAAGAAAGCCCTACGACTGAATATATGCCATGTACCTTCCTATTTATGTAAACTCTGATTATCATTAAAATGGTCTGAATTCCTAAAGCGGGGGTTAGGGAGGACAGACCCCCAAACTGTGCTGGTGATGAGAGGGCGTTACCTTTCAGTGTGCACACTGTTAAAGGCATCCATACTGTTGGCAAAAGCTGGTGCAGCAAGAATACCTGAGTGGCTTCCCCTTTCCACATTAATGCTTAGAGTAGCGCAGTCCACCTACCTGGTGCAAAAGCAAACACAGCGAAACATTCTCCCGTAGAAGCCACTGCGGTGACTACGGAGCGTCTTTTGCTAAAGTACTGCGACAGGATGGTCACAGTTGGGAGGAAACTAAAGCAGCATCCCAAACCTGTGAGAGAAAGAAAGAAAGAACAGTGAGACCACAAACAGATGCAGACTGGAGGGACGCATTCAGAGACCTGGGATTTCTGCTTTTGTTTTTCGAGTCTGGTTTTTCCTTTCTTTTTTTGACTTTTTTGCATTTTTTTTCAAATTTATATAATTCACAATGAACAAAACTATTATTGAATATAGTTTTTATATAAGACTTGTATCTGGGGCTGGGTGCGGTGGCAGATGCCTGTAAATCTCGCACTTTGGGAGGCCAAAGTGGGAGGATCACTTGAGATCAGGAGTTCGAGACCAGCCTGAGCAAGAGCGAGATCCCGTTTCTACTTAAAATAGAAAAAATTTAGCTGGCCGTGGTGTTGCGTGCCTGTAGTCCTAGCTGCTCGGGAGGCTGAGGCAGGAGGATCACTAGAAGCCAGGAGTTTGAGGTCGCTGTGAGCTAGGCTGACACCACGGCACTCTAGCCTGGGCAACAGAGCAAGACTCTGTCTCAAAAAAGAAAAGAAAAATTAAATGGGCATGCTGGTAGCTAGGACTACATGGCTGTAGTCCTAGCTACTCAGGAGGCTGAGGCAGGAGAATTGCTTGAGCCCTGGAGTCTGAGATAACAGTGAGCCATGATGACGCCACCGCACTCTAGCCCGGGTGACAGAGTGAAACCTTAACTCGAAAAAATAAAACAAAACAAAACAAAAAAACCCTAAAAGACTTGTATTTAGAAATAAACAAGTCTCTTGATATGTGCAGAAATGTATGAAAAAGTTAAAGGGTGTAAATCTTAACTATACATGTATATATATAAACACACACACATATATAATATATAATCCTTGAGTAATGTATGGACTCCTTTTAGATGGAAAAAAAATTTTCTTAGAACCCCCAAGAATAAGTCCAGCATATTGCCCTTCCCTTACTTACTGCCCTGGGTCCTCAAGACCCTAATTTGAGAAATACTGGCTAAAGAAATTCAAGTCTTACTTTGTAAAAAATGATGTCCTTTGGCTGCAAACTATAGCAAAAAAAGAAGTTATCTTCATCATTGGTAATTAAAAAAAAAAAAAAAAGATGAAACAAAAACTCTTGGACACTTGAGAATAGGTTCACAGATGTCCAGGAGTCCATACAGCCCCGTTCAAAACTACTGGTTTGAGACACTGTTCATTTTAAAGCAAAAAGAGAGAGAAATACAATCTGGGTTTAATTTCCTCCTCCTTCCTTCTTCTTCAAACTAAAATATCTAGAGAACTTCACAGGCAAAGAGCAGCCCTTACCGGAGATGAGGCCAATGGTGATGTACATGTGGCAGACCTCACGTGCAAACGAGGCGGCCACCATCCCGGTGCTGACCAGCACGCCCCCCAGCATCACCACCAGCCGGTGTCCGAATCGATTGCTCAGGACTGTGGCGAGGGGAGCTGCCGGGAAAGAACACAGAGTGATATTTTAACTCAGAGGCTTCCGCGTGAGCTTCCCTGAGATTCATTCCTTCCTCCACGCCCTGAGCATGGAGACATGATATAAAATACCTGACACGTTTCATGCAATGGCTACTGCAGCTGAGGAATTATTTTCTTATTTGTCCAAATTACACAAGATTCTTCAGGCTCCTTTGAGAGAAAGGCACAATCGCAAAGATGTGGGATGAGCCTAAGTGCCCATCGACCGAAGAATGGATGAGGAAAATGTGCAACATGGAGTACTACTCAGGGATAAGAAAGAATGGAATAATGTCTTCTGCAGCAACTTGGATGGAGCTGGAGGCATTATCCTGAGTGAAGAACTCAGGAAAAGAAAAATAAGTGCTGCACATTCTCACGTATAAGCGGGAGCTAAACTATGGCGACACAAGGACACACAGATGGTACAATGGATACTGCAGACTCACAAAGGGGGAGGGTGGAAGGGAGTGAGGGCTGAAACATCACCTATGGGGTACATCATATACCATTCAGGTGATGGGCACCCCAAAAGCCCAGATTTCACCACCATACAATATATACAGGTAACAGAATTCAACTTATACCTCATAAATCAATTAAAATTTTTAAAAAGGAAAAAAAAAAGAATGCCAGAGTAATATTATAAAACATATATCTATATTTTTAGATGATTTTGACTCACCATGAGTGCCTACAAAACTAGATATGCATTTAATTTATGTTATTCTGTAATAAAAATTGGTTTTCCTAAGATTGCTTGAATCATTTTGTTTTTTTGAGACAGGGTCTCCCTGTGTCACCCAGGCTGGAGTGTGGTGGCGCCATTATAGCTGAGTGCAACCTCCAACTCCCAGGCTCAAGCCATCCTCTTGGCTCAGCCTCCCGAGTAGCTGGGACTACAGGTGTGTGCCACCATGCCCGGCTAATTTATTTATATTCTTTTGTAGAGATGGGGGTCTCGTTATGTTGCCCAGGCTGATCTCAAACTCAAAACTCCTGGCCTCAAGTGATCCTCCCACTTCGGGCCCCCCTAAAGTGCTAGGATTGCAGGCATGACCCATTCCACCGGCTGATTTTCTTTTTTTCCCCTGTAATTCACTACTTTGGATTCTTTTTAAAAACCTATATTTGGAATCAGATTCTAGTTAGTTTCTTTATAGGATGACAGTATGGTGGATTCTCAGTTATGCACTCTTAAAGGAGGATGGCTATGGGATCAATAGTATTGCAATCTATTTAAAGTGTCTGATGAATCATAATTTGCTTGGCTTCTATACGCTGTATCCCCTAGGACATATATATCTGGCAAATGAGTTTCCTAGTTATATATTACTTAATAGTGACTTGAGAACACTGAGATAAGCTAGCTATTGGGAGTTGGGTCAAGGAAGGACAACACGCTGGGTAGAAGGGGCAGGGGGAAAAAGGATGAAATTTTGTTGGGGTTAGTCCATACAATCTATTATGGTAGCTATTAGAATTCGAACGAATATTGAATGCAGCTCACAATGAAACCACTATCGTTTTGAGCCAATATGTTGGCTCGAAGCATTAACAATTAGAATAATAGTATTTGGAAGAATTATCTCTTCTGGTATAATAGTATTAAGTAGAAATTTCTTGTTGACTACATTTTTATTTTTGGTTATAAAAGAGCTAAAACTTTAGCTTTGGCATTTTCTTTTTATTGAGATTACCAAATGTAAAATTTTAGTTCTTATGCACTTACATTATCTTTCTAAAAAAGTAATTAAGCATTCCACGATTTGAAAATTAAGTTATCTTAATACTCAAACCGGAACTAGGAGCTACTTCATGACCCTGGTAAGAGATAGTAGGACGTGTTAGAGAAATTCCTACTTTACCCAATGGTTAAAAACACATGTAGTTGCCTATTTAAAAGCATTATATGGCTGAAAATAAACTATATTTAAAGAAAGGCTTTAACTTCAGCGATAACAGTTCCATGACAGGATATTAGGATAAAGCTAGGGAAGTTTACGGTCAGCCTGGTTAACTTCCTGAGGCGAGTTCAGCAGCTCTGTTCTCTTGGAAGACCCTCAGCACTGTGTCCGACAGACAGATGAACTCCTGAGACCTAGAGTGTGGGCTCAGATTAGGCCTGTAAGTGACCAAGTAAAAATAAGTATGTTAAACATAATACTGAAACCTGATTTTATTTTATGCTGTTGGATCTGGGAGTATTGTTTTAATGATGAATCAGCGATGTCCTTTAGAGAAGCAGGTGTCTGGAATTCAGAGCCTCCTCAGGACAATGTTTTCCCATTATCCCCTTTTACACATCCCTGTTTTTCTTCCTCACGTACCCACATTTACACGTTTCTGACCTGTAACGATGAGATCAGGGCCTGGCATGCCAGCGACTTCTTGATTGATGCTGGTTTTTCAGACAGTGACTACACCCTCACAGAATTGGGGTTCACTGCCCTCCTCAAAGTGATCTACAGAATCCTGAGAGTGTGCGGATGGTAGATGTTTAACACCTGGGCGTTAAAATGAAAAATCAGCCGGGCATGGTGGCGTGCGCCTGTAGTCCCAGCTACAAGGGAGGCTGAGGCGGGAGGATCGCTTGAGCCCAGGAGTTCGAGGCTGCAGTGAGCTAGGATGACGCCACTGCACTCCAGCCTGGGTGACAGAGCGAGATCTTGTCTCAAAACAAACAAACCTCACCCCCACCACCACCAAAACCTCAAGAAACGAAACAGAGGCCGACATAAAAGAACACATCACAATCACACCAACTACCACTACGTAGTCAGGCAGATTACAAGGGGCCCATGCTTACGTCGTGGTCAGGCTGAAAGATGTACTAACCTGTAAATGTTAAGACAAACACACATATTGATATTATCCATGAGATCCTGCTATTGGACTCGTCAAAGCTGTCCATTAAGTCATTAAAGAAGACGCCAAACGACTTGATGATGCCGTAGGTAAAGACTTCGATGAAGAAAAAGGAGACCGCGACTGCCCAACCCCACCCTCCATCAGGCACTTCAGTGTACACGTTGGCTCTGAAACAAAGCTTTGCTTTCTTCTGGGTCATTCTTAATCTGAAATCAAAAGTTAAAAAAAAAAAAAAAAAATTTTAGACCAGCAATAGCACGAGGGTTGATGACTGCAATACTCCTTAGCAAACATAACAGATAAGAAATTACTTACCCCATTGCTTAGGTTGAATATTTAAATCATGTACAGTTAGGATAAAGTCTTTGGACCATTTTATGCACATGTGTATATAAAAATCTTTGTAGTGTACATGGGGCCCCCAAAGAACGTGGAGGTAAGACTTCCCTGTGACAGCTAGATGGGGAAAACGAATAAACAAAATAAGGAACCAGAGCAGAATACTTAGAGGCACTTTGAAGGACACAGAATGGCCACTGGACCAAGTGTTGATGCTGACCTTGAAGGAGACAACTTAGCCAAAGAAAGACTGAATTGACCATAAGGAATATTGATCAGAAACGATCAGAATAGGCTAGGTATGGTGGCCCATGCCTGTAATCCCCACGCTGTGGGAGGCTGAGGTGGAAGGATCACTTGAGGCTAGGAGTTCGAGACTAGCCTGAGCAATGTAGCAAGACCCTTTCTACAAAAAAATTTAAAAAATTAGCCTGATGTGGTGGCATGTGCCTGTAGTCTCAGCTACTTGGGAGGCTGAGGCAGGAGGATTACTTGAGCACAGGATTTGGAGGCTGCCGTGAGCTATGATCACACCACTGTACTCCAGACTGGGTGACAGAGCGAGATCCTGTCTCTTAAAAAAAAAAAATGAAGCTTAGAAAAGGGAGGCTGAAGAGCAAACACTAACGGTATGTCTAGTACCTTCCACAGGACCACAGGATAAGTTCTAGAGAGCTTGAGATGCCATATGCATCTCTGCTTGATGCCACTGGCCATGGAGGCCAGGCAGCCAAATTGTCTTGCTCTCATTTTCCACTCAGTAAGCAACATTCCGATTATGGTTTGGTGTCCCAGGTGGACGGATGTACCTACACGGACAGGATGTAACTATACATCAAAATGTGGGAATTCTGTCTTCTGGAAGTTTGTTTAGCATGAGTAAGTTTCCTCAAAGTTTGACCACCATTTGGTGTATTAGCAATTGAATTTCTGAGCACATGACAAATACTCTAGAATTCAGTGACAGCAGTTAACAGAATTATCCCTGGCCTCATTGTGCCTTCACATTCCAACTGCAACAAACGTCAGAACAAGCAGACCTTTGTATACTATAAGAGGAGACACTGCATTTAACACTGGAAGGAGGTTTGTTTAACTCAGGTCTTCTTTCTGGACTGGGCCCTAGCACATGAACACTGCCTTTTTCAAAGCCTCTGCAATTACATGTACTTTTGAAACAGTGATGTGTATTTTTAGCCCAACTAAGAATTAATGATATTGATAATAATTAGTGAGTCCATGGTCTTAGAGCTCTTAATGGCAAGTAACTTCAACATTACAAATTCTTTACACACTACCCAAAGCAATATACAGATTGAATGTAATCTCTATGAAAATACCAATGACATTCTTCACAAAAAGAGAAAAAAAAAAAAGTCCTAAAATTTGTATGGAACCACAAAAGACCCTGAATAGTCAAAGCAATCCTTCACAAAAAGAACAAAGCTGGGGGCATCACACTTCACACCACCAGACTTCAAAATATACTACAAAGCTGTAGGAACCAAAACAGCATGGTGCTGGCATAAAAACAGACACATACACCAATGGAACAGAATAGAGGACCCCGAAATCAATCCATGTATCTGCAGCCAACTGATTTTTGACAAAGGTGCTAAAAACACTCGCTGGGGAAAGGACAGTCTCTTCAACAATTGGTGCTGGGAAAACTGGATATCCACATGCGGAAGAATGAAACTAGACCTCCACTTCTCATCCTATACAAAAATCAACTCAAAAATGGATTAAATACCTAAATGGAAGACCCAAAACAAGAATACTACTAGAAGAAAACATAGTGGAGAGGCTTCAAGACATTGGTCTGGAAAGCGATTTTATGAATAAGACCTCAATAGCGCAGACAAAGAAAGCAAAAATAAACAAAGGGGAGATTATATCAACCTAAAAAGCTGCACAGCAAAAAAACCCACAAAAAAACAAAAAACAATAAGAGTGAAAAGCCAACCTACAAAATGAGAGAAAATATCATCAAACTATTCACATGACGGGGGATTAATATCCAGAATATACAAGGAACTCAACATCTCAGGAGCAAAAAACAATCTGATTAAAAAATGAGCAAATGATCTGAACAGACATTCCTCCAAAGATGACATACATATGGCCAACAAGTCTATGAAAAAAATGCTCAGCATCACCAACCATCAGGGAAACGCAAATCAGAACCACAATGAGGGATCATCTCACCCCAGCGAGGATGGCTATTATCACAAAGACAAAAAATATCAAATGCTGGCACAGATGTGGAGACAAGGGAACTGTTGGTGGGGATGTAAACCAGTATAGCCACTAGGGGGAACAGTATGGAGGCTCCTCAAAAAACTACAAATAAAACTACGATATGATCCAGCAGTCCCACCAATGGCCATTTATCCAAGAGAAAGGAAGTCAGCGTATCAAAGAGACATCTGTGCTCCCAGGTTTATTGCAGCGCTCTTCATAACAGCCCAGGTACAGAGTCAGGCTAGGTGTCCAACAACAGATGAATGGATAAAGAAATATGCTTTACATTACACAATGGAATACTATTCAGCCATAAAAAAGGAATGAAATCTTGTCATTTGCAGCGACATGGATGGACCTGGAGGACATTATGTTAAGTGAAATAAGCCAGCCAGACAGAGAAAATTAAAAACCACATGTTCTCACTCATATGTAGAAACTAAAAAAAGCTTGACCTCACAGAATAAAAATTAGAACAGATGACACTAGAGGTGGGGAATGGAGGGGTAAGGAGGGATTTATTTTTTATGTTTTTATTTTTTTGAGACAGAGTCTCGCTTTGTTGCCCAGGCTAGAGTGAGTGCCGTGGCGTCAGCCTAGCTCACAGCAACCTCAAACTCCTGGGCTCAAGCAATCCTCCTGCCTCAGCCTCCCAAGTAGCTGGGACTACAGGCATGCGCTACCATGCCTGGCTAATTTTTTCTATCTATATTAGTTGGCCAATTAATTTCTTTCTATTTATAGTAGAGACAGGGTCTCGCTCTTGCTCAGACTGGTTTCCAACTCCTGACCTTGAGCAATCCTCCCGCCTTGGCCTCCCAGAGTGCTAGGATTACAGGCGTGAGCCACGCGCAGGGCCAGGAGGGGTTTATTAAAGGATACAAAATTACGGCTAGATAGGAGGAATAAGTTCTAGTGCTCTATACCACTGTATTGGATGACTGCGGTTATTAATATATAGTTTCAAATAGCTAGAGGAGGATATTGAATGTTCCCAGCATAAAGAAATGATAAATGTTTGTGATGGCAGATATGCTAATTGCCTTGATCTGATTACTAGACAGTATAAGTATGTCAAAACATCACTATGTACTCCATAAATACGTACAGTTATTATGTGTCAATGAAAAAAATAAGATAGTAAAAAAAAATTCTTTACAAGTATATACAGTTAGTTTATACATAGGCTAATTTTCAGGATGCATGTATATCCTCTGCCTAGCCAAAAGCTGTGTTCAAGTTACTAAGGCAAAAGTTTTATTGGTATCAGAGGGCAACTTAGAAATGACAGGATCCAACCTGTCATATATATAGTGCACTTGCTGGTTTCTAATCTTAAAAATCGAATATTCTGCATTTACTTGATAAATCTTAAAATGCAGCCAATCTGACCTAATTTAGTTTATCCTAGAGATAGCACCCTACACACACACACACACACACACACACACACACACACACACACCTGTCAAATATGTGGTTGAATGAAATAGGCCATAAGATGCTTTAAGAAGCTTATATTCTCTGCAGCAAAGGCCTGTGCATGGTGATGTGTGTTGCTGTGTCTGTCATGCCTGGGAGCAAATGGGAAAAGGTGGGAAAGGGCAGGTAGGTGGCTCAGGAGGTAGGATGAGCGGCTGCAGAATAGTTTGTCATTAGTGTCCTCCCCACGTGCAAAGCAACTGATTTAAGATGGGAGCCCGGAGCCCTCCCAGCACATGGGGTTTTCACAGCCCCTCCTTCGTTGGCCTTTCTAAAGTCCCTCCTAAGATGACAGCTGGGACGGAGGTGAACAGCACCAGGCTTGAGAGATTTACAAGACCCCCCCCCCTCAAAAAAAAAAAGCGCCTCCCAGAGCTGCCTTTAGAGCAGCTTTCTCCCTGGGTGGGGCGAGCGGGAGGGCAGAAGCACGAGTGAGGGAGCTTGCTCCAAGCCTTGGCCCCCACCTTTCCAGGCCACAGGTGTGAGCTTTCCTTCGCCAAGACCACCACTCCCTTACCAGCCTCTTGACTGCCTCCACGTGTCCACCGCAATTAATCTTTCTGAAATGCTGCATGGTTGTGCCACTTTTCTGCTCAGACTTTTTCAGTGGCTTTCCTCTTTTGAAGGATAAAATCCACCCATGAGCCTGACTTTCAATGGCCTTCGTAACCTCGCTTTGTAGCCTTATTTATTCTGATTCTGAGACTTGCCTGGGCTGTCCTGGTCATAGTGCCCACCCACCGTGCTGTGGCCGTGCCACCTCCCCACGCCGGGGTTCCCCTCTGTAGCTGGCACAGTATAACCTCTAAGGCCTTGTTCCACCAAGTACTCCCTTCTCCATAAAGTTTCCTCCAACCAGCGCACCCTAAGGTATCGTTTAATGATGGGGTATCGTCTACTTTCATGCATTTATCTTATTTGCTTGATTAAATTACGAGCCCACAAAATCTGGGGCCTATATCTCTTTGCACCACCACTCCCCACCCTGTACCTTGTACATGGCTTTTATTTATTTTTTTCAACAAAGTACCTCCTAGGTGCCAGGCTCTCTGCTGTCACTGCAGGGATACTACACTGAAAAGACGGAGGGATGGTCTCCATGGACTCGAATATTTGTTGATGAGAACGATATGGAAATCTAAGACTGAGATGCATCCTATTTCAAACCATTCAGCCACGTCCTTGCAAAGTTGAGCACGTTTCTGACAAGCAGTCAGGACTGAGTGGCTATTAAGTCCCAGGTCACTTTGGCACAATTGTTCTAACCCAGGAGGGTGTCCATAAGGTGTTACAGTTTTAATGGAGGTTTTGGAACCAACTTGAATCAAAACATATTAAGATAAAATGTGATAAAGGCTTAGAGAAACAAGTGGAATCTCTCTGTAGCCTAAAATCACTACAGGATAAGAGACAATCTTTTGGTTGGATTGCATTTGGATGAGTGGGCCCAGATTGCAGTTTTCGGATGAGCTGATCATCGACCACCATCAGAAGGCCCCGTGTCAGGCCAGGGTGCAGTTCTGGTGATTGCTAACCACCTCCTGCGCTCCCCTTGCCTCTACGATCACTGGTTTGCATTTGCAAAAGGGACGGGGTTAGGATCAACCAGTAGCCCCTGAATGGAGTTTGAATCACTGAATTT